CCTCCCACATCCCTAGCGTGGTTGGGAACGCTGCTGTCCCAGCTGCCTGCAGATCGCTGGGTGGGAATTGGCTGTCCTGCTGTCTCTGCTCGCTGTGGTTGAGTAAACCCCCACGGTGTGATGCGGCAGGGAGTAAACCCGGGGATGTGAGTGCCCCCCTCCCGGCTCCTGTTTCCCTCCACTGCTCGCTGGGTTGGTTGGTTTTCGTGGGCCTTATTAAACGGTGTGCAGCAGCGTGCCCAGGGTGGGGTGCGGTGCTCAGCCTGGAAGGTGGCGATAGGAAATGACTTGTGATGCGCATGGGTACATGCAGGCGCTGCTGGGGGTGTGACAGTCCTGCGTGAAGGGCCGGGTGTTCTGCTGCGCACCTTTAGCCGGTTCAGCGCCATGCGGGTGAAGGAAGCGTATAGTCACTCGGGTTGTGCAGGTGTGGTGTTCACCGTCTCAGCAGCGGGGGCTACGCAGCGCAGCCTGGAGGAACAGCCGTGTGTGTGCTACAGCAGTGCCTGTGGAGCTGCAGAAGTGCCTGGAGCGAGGGCGTGGTGGTCCCACACAGCCTCGCAGAAGCCCGCTCTAAGGTAAAGCGTTTTCCGTGTTCTCCTCCTGTGGCATGTTCAGTGCAAAATGAGTCGGGAGCTCTAATTTCTGTCGACTCTGTGTCATGGGTTCAGTAACTGTAAAGCAGGAGCAAGCTCCTCCTCTGCTGTAACGCCCGTCGTGCGGAGCAAGAAACCGGGGCCTGATCCGATTCGCCTCCCGCTGCTGTCCCCTGCGCTGGTATTGCACGTGGCATGGCTCGCTGGGCTTTGCGACAGCAGCACGTGCTGGTCTTCGGAGGGAATCTGGGGGGTTTGTACAGACAGCAAACTGAACTCCTCTGCGTAATGGCTTTTCTAATTAAGAGCGTTCTTTCATGAAGAGCAGAACATGGCTGGGGGGAGGAGGTAGAGAAATGGGGGGCAAAACAGCCTGGGAGGAAGGGAGGGGTGGGGGAAGGTTTGCAAGATCCGGTTTTGTGTCTCGTTAACCTACTCTGATTTGATTGGTAACTAATTAAATTGTGTTTTCTTCCCCAGGTCGAGTCTGTTCTGCCCCCCAGGGGTAGGAGTGAGCAAGCGGCCGTGTTCTGCTCACTTGCTGGCCAGGGCTAAAGCACACCAGCTTCGTAGGAGTAGGAGCCGAGCAGGGGACTAAAACCGTGTTTTGGACTTCTGAATAATAGACGACTTGGGGTTTCATCCTGCTCATGCCTTCCGTGCTGCGTGTCATCCTGGTGTTTGCACCGGCACTGATGACACTGATGCAGTGGTTGTGTCTTCTGCTTAGGGAGTTTGTTTTGTTTTCTTCAAGCCTTAATTGAGTACTTTGCTTTCGTGGTTTAAAGATGAACTGCAGCTACTTTCAGAGCAGAAGGGGCAAGTACAGATGGCTTTAGAATGTCAAACCTTGCTGGCAGCCTATTTCCAGGCTTCTGGAGGGTTATCGGAAGGATGCCGGCGTGCAACAAGAATGGTGTGGATGGCTCCGGAGATTATTTCTCCCGTGTATCTTTGTTTCATCATTTTGATGGACACAGCGTTGGTTAGTACGCAGGTGTTTTTATCTGCGGACCTCAAAACACCTTAGGGTTGGGAAGGACTGAAGCCAAGTGGTAATGAGGCAGATCTCCATCAGTGTTGGTTGGTCCCGTGTTGGTAGGCTTGATGTCACAGCCTGTGACAGCCTGGGCAAGAGACTCTGTGGCACTGGACTTCTCTGCAGGGATTGATTTCTTCTCGGGCAGGGAAGAGTCTCTACCTTTAGGCACTTGGCACTCCCTGGTTGGGTGGTGCGTGAGAGCTACTTGGGAATTTGGCAGTGTGCTACTTCCCGGCGGTCTGGAATGTACTACAGTACGTGCTGCGCAGTGCACAGACCGAGGGCTGAATGGAGAGTGCCTGCTGACTCCTGCGGGAAACGGCAGCAGCAGAAACGGAAAGAAATTGCACATGGCAGATCGGGGAGAATACGAGAGAACTCTAACAAAAGACTTAATTTTAATAAATATTAACTGCTGGTCCAAGCCTCCGTCCCCTCCAGCATGTACTTGTTCAGCCTGTTCCTCCCCAGTGTACACCGACCTGCAGATCGTCTCAAGCACAGTGCCTCTCCCGGGGGTACAAACCCCAGAAGTTCTGGGATCTGGTACACACCTCAGCTCATTTACTGAGCTCGTCTGCAGTTTCAGTGGTAGGGAGCATGTTTCTAGGATGTAAAAATTCCTTGGTCTAATCGGCTTCACCTGTGATAGTCACGGTATGACTGTTCCCGTGGCGTGCAGCTCCTGTAACGAGCTCACAGTAAAGCACCTCTTGGGTTTGGAAACCTTGCTGCCAGGGATGACCATTGTTTGAACATGCTGCCATTCCTCGTCTTCCCTTCCTGCACCCTCCCGACCATCCCCTCCTGCTTGGTGCGAGCAGGACCGCTGACTCGCAGCCGATCCCTTTGGCTGAGACGTGCATGTCATGCTCGCGGCCCACCTGTGAGTGAAACCTCTCCAAAGAGGGTAGGAGGGTTTTTTGCAGATATCAGGGTTCCGTTTACTTTGCCTTCAGGTTTTAGAGCTTCCGGGCCCACAGCACTGCCCGTCTCTTGTGCCCCTTGCTGTCAGAGGCCTGCGGCCACGCCAGCGTTGTGCGGAGCGCGCTGCCCAGCCAGGCTCACGCTCCGGACTGCTCTGTCCCAGCTCCCGTGGACTGCGGAGGCACTGTGACTTCCTGGGGAAACCCCGCATGGTTTCCCCTCTCTTCAGGAAGCCCATGGAGAGAGCAGTGATCCAGCGGAAGAGGACGTTTGTTGTCAGAGCTGGCTGCGGGCTCTGCTGGCTGTTGCACCGCTCTCGCTGGATTTTAACG